TGTATGACATGGTAAAACCGCCAATCAAAGAGCAGCGAATTATTGATTGGAACAGTGACACACGAAAACCGTACGAACAGTCTAGAGTACGTATCGGTCCTGCTTTCTGCCTAGCCCAGCCAGTTAAGTTCAGAAAACCGATAACAGCCTCTGCGGTATAAATCATTGTATTTCAAACATACTGAGTTTATATACCAAACAGACTGACCACAACGTACCAATAAAATAGAAAATAACATTTGTACAAGAGTTAGCCAAATGTGGCTGTGAATAGGGGGAGCAGTAATTAATAGACTGGGTATAACTCAGTAATGGTAAATCGCACAATGATAGTCCAAGAGTCAAAATAAAGCTCACAATGAAAGGAACATGAATATGAGTAGTTTAATTATATGGCAAATATACGATAAAAATTATATGTGTAATATTGGTCCATACATGGATCCCAAAGTTACCATTCACTATTGTTATCGGGGCATAACACTATCTCAGAAAAAAACCTATACCCGAACTCTTCAGTTTCTTTTAGATGTTAACAATTAATTGTTTCCTACCATGTAGTTACATGTTTTCCTATATTCAATCATTGTTCATTTTATATCCTTTCCACAACAGTATCTCCATATTTATATAATGTATGACCTTCACAAATTACTGTCAGTTCTAGTTGCCACATCTCACATTAACACCATAAAATGAATTAAACTGTAGTAAGACTCTAAAGATCATTCTGACAGCATTAGAGAAATCGAAACGTTTTTGGAAAAAGAGTTAACAGAAATGAATACATGTTACAAGTCCGATACTGTGCCGAAATCAAAGAAAAGTAAAAACCAAATGCAATGATGATTCTGTGATGACCAATTTTCGCCGTTGTCATAATTCTCCAATAGAACCTTTCATAAATCGATCTTCAATCAACTCTCTGCTGTGAACATGATTGCTATGTAATTGGACGAAATATTTTAAAAATTTTGTATGACATGATAATTTTTGTGTAGTGAGAGTTTCAAAAAAAAATTAGTGAAAATCAAGGAGCACTGAACAATTGTTTTGTTCTCGTTTTGATTTTCTTTGACAGTGTACGGATTAAAATGATTGCTATCTGATGAAGTAAAATAAAGTATTGGCTCCCAATGAACTTCAGTCTTCGTACAAAATAACCGTCCAGTGCTCACTGATTTTGCTACTGATGTCGATCTTTGAAATCAAATTATCCTAACCATAAGCATTTTTCACAAAATAATCTACGTAAATAGTTTACTCGTGTAAGCCGAAGTGAGTATCTTGATTTTTCAGCATGACTCTCATATTGTTCAAAAAACCCAGAATCAAACTAATTATATATTATTATAGAGTGTTGTTGATTTGTCTGATAGCCATCCTAATTTCTTCAATCGTTGGTGGAGTGACGTACGATCGAAGAAATCAGGATAGCCATCAAACAAATCAACAGTGGAAAAGCAGCAGGACCTAACAATATACCAGCTGAAGCACTGAAGTTAATTAAACATACATTAAAAACCAAAAAACCATATATCAAACTGCATACAGTTAAACATGTATACCATTAGGTGTCAGGTTAGTAGTCTAAAGATTAGTCGCTCATCATAAGACCTAAAAATGTTTTTTTCATCCCGTCACATCTTCTGAAATAAGCACTACTGAGAACTTTCAAACTAGGACGAAACGGCTGTACATTTTTCAATGGTTGTTTGACTGAAGCAATCCATAATGTTCACTATGAGTTTAATCAGTCTAATTTTTCTTTCCGTCTGCAAATATTTTACTGAAATTTCCATAAATGTTTATAGTAATTATTTTCCGACGTTGTTATGAAGTACAGTATGTTTTGACTAATCTCTAAATAATTAAGTGACGAAACCTATTTGTATTTTTTAATGGTAGAAAAACAACTTATCGATTTTTAATAGAGTATATCATGTATGAGAATGGTTTCATTTCGCTTATTATCAATTTAGTAGTTGTATGGACGAGATTTGTCTATCATATTTTCTGTCAATTATATCAGTCAGTTATATAGATCTCACAGCCTGGGATATTCATGTATTGGTTCAGGTTGCTACAGTATATCAGCCCAAAATAGTAATAAGGACAAAATCGCTGATAGTGAAGGAAATCAACCAAAACCAATATGATTCTAGAAGAAAATGAGGATTCATTGAGTAAACATTTATAAAATAACTTTGACTGGTATTTCCGATATATATAATCGGGAACAACTTTTTCTATCACTGTTATTTATTTCCATTCTAATATCTTCTTCATGAATTAAAATATTTGTTTATGGATCATTGTTGTCAAACTTTTTCAATAATCGTGTATTCCAAAACAGAACAACTATTTTTTGAAAATGTGTGATTGCATTTCGGTTGTTTCCAAACTAGTGCTTACAGGTTCTAGATTTTTATTTTAAATTACGAACAGATATGTTCCATATGCTGGTGAAATAAACTTGAAAATTTCAACAGAGATATCTTTTACTACTGAATAGTAGTCAGCAATTATGTGCACAACGAATTGGTTAGTCAAGGTAATTCACCGTCTATTTACCTGTATACCTATATAGTATATAGTATTTGCAGTGATAACACATAGAATGTTATTTGCAGTGACCTAGCCTGATGGCCCTAGAAGTTTTCGTTCCGTATGTCCCTCTTGAATTCGAGAACATACATTCTTCCAAAGATTAGTGATTTTTGAAACACTTGATTCGCTTCTTTTTTGGAGAATAAGCAAACTATCAAGGCCAAGAGCTTCATTATAAATGATAAGAGTGTCATCAATATGTCTCTTTTATGTATCTTAAAACCTCTTACAGACTTCACTTAATACCTTTCTCACTATTGGTTCACAAAACAGGTCGTAGTAATATTTCATTTCTAATACTAACTCGGTAGTTTTGATTGTTGATGCTGAAATTAATATTCAAAATGCATATAATTATAAACTGTTTCAAGATATAGGCATATCCATATTTAGTCTATATGTATCAGTGTAAACAGATATGCAGAATACTATTTCACTGAGTGAAATATTCTTAAATTAACTATACATCTAAAATACAACAGTCTTACCTGACTATCTATAAATTTACTTAAACGTCTACGTACACCGTGACGGAAAGAACCAGGAATACCTCAGACAAGATGTTGGTATTTTTCATTTGTGAACTTGAGGTGGTTCATAGTATCAACGAATTATAAATCTTATGACTTATTAGTCGACACATTGTAGATTTTATTAAATCGTCAAACAAGTGAACTTTTGACACGTCACTAATTAGTCCAGTCAAACTTAGTTATTTCATCCTGAATAATAGTTATTTCTGTGTCTGAAGTTAATTCCTAAATAAGGATCAATCACTGTAATCTTACTGGATTATCTGTATATAGTGAAGTATCAATGTTTATCTGTTTTTACGCCCGCTACATCTTCTAACCGTATACTACTTAATAATATTCAGTAGTCTGGTAATATTAGCATATTATTTAGAGTGATTAAGTTTCAGATTGTTTTCACATTACCTTCTTTATTATCCTTGTCTCCTCTTACCTCCATTTCTAGTCTAGTTGACCTTTTATTTTTATGTATAGATGTTCTTAATAGGGATACATGTGGTCAGATTGTTCGAAATATATTGCGCTTATTTATCACATAGTTCGTCTCCTCATCAATGGGACTAATTGCTTCAAATTCAGTAGTCAATATTACATTCAGTCAGTTTTGGGACGTATTACATAAAAAGTTTCTTTGTCGTAACTGAGCTGCCATTCTGAAATATTTACATTTTATCCGACTTCTGATCCGTTTTGTTGCTTATAATTTTATTTACCTACCTGTTTTCATTGTTTAATCATTTCTGTGTATGTTGCATACTTAAACCTTTTATTTTGAACAGCTTGCACAAACAGCACTTCATCTATTTGATTATCTTCTAGTAGCTGTTTGATGTGATTATTTGTTGATGTCCCCCTTATTTATATTGTGTGTCGTAATTTAAATTTTATCCAACTATTCGTGGAAGTAATTTAATTATGGCTGTACTGTTGACGATGTCATTGAAACTTAGACCTCTGACGTTTCGAAGTTTGTAAACTGTATTACTTCCGTTGTTTTAATCTCTTATTCAAACATGAATCTATGAACAAATAATATTCTTTTTAATAAATTCACCTCAGGTTCCACAATTATATATCTAAATAAATAATTCCAACAGTGTCCAGGTCTGAGGCAAAATATATCGTTCAGAATTACGGCATGAGAATTCAGGATAGTAATACAAAATAAAATTGTTAGTGTTGCAACGACTAATATGTAATGTTAACTTGAATAAGTTTATACGTTAAATGGAATTGTGCGATTAATTGTCAGAATGAATATGGTTAGTATGAGGTGATATATTTTGCTGGAGTTTTGTTCTCTGAGCTGAATGGTTTAAACTTCTACCCGAAGTTTGTGCCGATGATGTTGTTCAGAAGGACGATGAAAGCTCCACGACCAAACTATCCAGCTCAGAGATCAAAACCCCATCAAAATCACCTATCTGAGGTACAAATCATCTCCACCATCTCGGATATATTTCGCTTTAAACCTGGATACTGTTAGGATTATTTATTTAGATATATAATTATAAAACCTGAAGTGAGAAATATTATTATCCGTTCATATATCTGTGTTCCATTATGTTACTTAATAGTACTATGTTACAGATAAATCTCGTGTTTTGGTTGAGAGATTGCACGCTTAACTCGAACATAGGATTAGAATTCTTTAAATGAATTCTGTAGTCAATCATCATTGACGTTGAACCTGGATATAACTGATATCTGGTTCAATTTTTTGTTTGTTATACCATAAAATTAATTAATAATCGTTTTATCATTGTAACTGATGAAAATTTCGTCAATTATTCAAATAATGATGAAAATCTCCTTCCTTTCTTTTGTTTTTTTGAAAAAAATTTGGATGATTTACAGTTAGTCACTCGTCCTAATAATCTTTATCAAACGTTTAAATTGAATGGTCCTACAATGGAGAAACGAGATTTCGTAAGCGATTATGTTTTCTTTTTTTGTTAATTATCGTTTTTAGATCAGAAGGGGTTTTGTGGAGATTTCAGTATTTTCATAGTTGAAATCATGAGTCAATTGAAGCTAGACCACCATGGAAAACCTGGAAGCTCTGGACGGCCTTTTTCTTCATATTGTAGGACTCCTCAGCAGTTGGATGCTGGCTCAGTGGTCGATCGGTTAAGTGCTCTGGCGAGAGACTGGTAGGTCCTGGGTTCGAATTTTGCTAGGCGGGATCGTGGATGCGCACTGCTGAGGAGTCCCACAATAGGACGAAACGGTCGTCCAGTGCTTCCAGGTTTTCATGGTGGTCTAGCTTCAATTGACTCATGATTTCAACTATGAAAATTATTGTTTTATCTCCAATGATAACTCCAATAGTTTGTAAAAATACAAGAAGACTGTTCAGTCATAGTCAAATCATTTTTCAGTTTGAAAAATGTATGCATAGTTTTAGAATAGCTGCGTCAGATATTGTATTGAATGATAGTTTCTAGGAAGCAGCTGTTTAGTGGTTTCAGACTGTTTACATAGTACGAAGCTTTCAATTTAAGCAAATGGCCGATGATAACTATCGGGAACTTCACTTACTATAAGGATGATTGATCCAATAATGTTACAACCGTTAATAAAAATAGACTGCAGGAATTCGCCACATCCATGTGTAAATACCAGCTCAAAGGACAGGTGTAATTAAGAGTTCTATTCTCATTCACTTGGTGGACACAGGTCGTCAAGTTGTTTTGAATTACGTTTTTTAAGGTTATCCGTCATATTCCATCATATATACCACATGGTTTACGAGTTCGCCTTTTGCACATTGCTAAAGCTGTCGGCATCCATCTTCACAAAACAACACCTTTTCGTCCAAACTAAGTTTATACAACCACTCTCACTATCTTGATCATCGGTATAGGAGTGAGTTTTCTTCAAAATATTTAAACTATTTTCTAATTTCTTCCACTTTTCTATTATATATATCTTTAACCTTCGTCCCTTGATTCTTATATAACTATTATAATACTAACTTAATAATATCAGCGAACTGAAATTGAAGGCCAAACATTACTTCTGAAGTAAATAAATAATATATTTGTAATATCCCAATGAGTAGAAAAAATCTAATTTTTCTACTCATTGGGATATTACAAATATATTATTTATTTATAACAATCTACCCAATGATCAATTTATTCAAAATTATCAAATCAAGACTTGGTAATTATACCTACATTACTTCTGAAGCTTTAAACGTATTGTTAGCTTAGTCAGCATACTTTTGTCGTGGTTTTGTATAACCACTTTCGTTTGTCAGAAATCATTTGTTTTATTCAGTAACGAATTCTATTGTGTAGATCTTTTTTATTTTTGCCATTCTACTGCAGAGTAATTCTGTTACATCAAAAATTCAAAGTAAAAAGATACCTATCCCGTCTCTTCCCACTCGACCATCAGAACAAGACATTTGTGAGATATTAAGGAAACAATTGGAATTTAAAAAAGATAATAGAAATTTATCTTTACCCAGTCATTATCCGGAAAACAATGATATAAACAAGTTTCCATCTTGTGATAATCCCACATGGCAACCTTTATCACCAAAAATCGATCATGAATTACGTAATTCAGAGCGAACAAATCGTAGTCTACTCACTAGTATTTTGTCAGAACTACCTGACTTTACAGCTGATTTTTATCCTTCAACAACTAGTCGAGTTAATGATTCTCAAGTGTCGCTTAGAAATCGTTCTCAAGATACGAAGTTTAAACCAACTAATCGTCGTTGTAGTTCATCAAAGCGTATGGGTTGTTACGTAGAGTCTCCTGAAAAAGCTTTTCATAATTGGATTTCATTCGATTCTAGCCCACCTACATGTTCTTCTGAGTAAGTTTTTGAAATGCTTATTTTATATTGTTTACTTTGTGACAAAGATTAATTTCCACTTCCATCTCTTAAATACAATCCTTCGAAGACCCTTCAGTGCGTAAACACTGAAAGACGCGTCCCTGGTATATTATTTACACATATGAAATGGAAAACATTGATTCCAAAACAATGATCAACATGCCATCACAAATTCTGGTTAGGGATATCATCATGTAATTTTACATCCTAACGATAATATAATCCCTAAAGCAAAATCAGCTTCCATACTGGAAAATGGTCACTTACATAGTGTTAGGCTAAAATCTTTAAGTAAAATGAAACCTTCAATCTTTTTTCTGTACTTCATACTTATTTACAACCGATCATTGCACCATTAGAATATATAGAGAGAGTTAATCGTTTTATAAATATTTAATGTGTGTTTGTAGGACAACCACTAAATTGTGAGCACCACGTTTATGAATATACTTCTCTTCGTGACAAGTAAACTGTCTGATAAGTACTTGAACTGGTCTCAACTTAAGTGGACGAGTAGTATATGTTGACTTTATTTAAATCTATAATTATTTAAATAATAATATATTTATTCAATATGACGTATCTGACACAATGTGAAATCCTCATGTTTCTCGTAGTTCAGTGGGCTATTCACTATCTTCCGTGCTTTAACTATTTCATACTTACAAAGAATTCATACTCCAATGAACAAGAACACGAGTGGGGACAATCAAATGTATTTAAGCACAAATTACAGACTATCTCACTGAATTCTGATCACCATACAGCAAAAAGTTAATTTGCAAAATAACAACCAATTGTCTCAATCTTCACTGACCCTTCCGTAAATATCAGTTCATCTTCTCTAATTTCATTGTTCATGCATTTTCTTACCGAGTGCGCTTCATTTCAGTTCTTTCCTCATCGGTCTTCTGCCAAAATACATTCTATGTCTGACCATCACCATATACTACTGATGTGGATATAAGTAGACCACATTACAATACGAAACATATCCAGACTACAACACCTATTTTCGAGCTTTAGTTTGTTGAAATTGTTTATCGTAACTAATTGATTCACGTTTATGGTCGATTAATTCAAACATTTGGCTTTTAGTTGTTGTATGAAGCACTTCAAGTCCTATCTCTTATTTGAACCTCGATAATAACTAGCCATGCATAACTTTGAGTACTTAGTTGCTGTGTTATAATAATCTGTTTAAATTTCAGCTTATTTGGCTTAGCTTCAAAGTATCTCAAAAATGGCGAACAAATATCGTAACCATTAGTGATTTTGATTCAATTTGCTGATGTTAAATACAAGTTGTATGTTTCCATTAATCTTTCACACTTCTCATTTTTTGTATACATATTTTAGAGATCTTATTAATTTCACTGGTTCCTCTTCCAAATCACCCAATACATTTTATCCGTTTTCATATGATTCAATTGTAAGTATCCTTTTAAATCATTCAATTTAAAAAAATCTATAACTTCATAATCGTGTCAATGTTTAAGCGTTTTTAGCTAGATAAGAATTTTATCAATGATGTTCCCAAGGTAACATGTATTTTATTGACTGATGATAATGGTTAAACTTATGGGACTTTACTTCAGTAAATAGTCTATTTAAAGCAATCAACATTTCCGCATAGTTCATCTTGGAAAACGGAAGGTAAGCGGAAAAGAGGAAGGCCAAAAAACACATTACGCTGGGAAGTAGAAGCAGATATGAAAAGGATAAATGTTAACTGGCAAGGATTGCTCAGGATAGAGTTGGATGGAAAATTAGTGTGCGGCCTATGCTCCTCCACGAGGGGTAACAGGCGTAAGTAATTAAAACCGGTAATCCTACACTACAGTAGACGCTGGCCCTTTTTCCTTTTTTTTATTCATACAACTACATATTAACTGAAAGTATATACGAAAAGAAGTTACTTTTACAAAGGCATATGTTAAGAAAATGTTTTCTATGATTCAACTCATTGTAGGAAACAGTAGTTTTTATCCATTGCTTATTCCCATTATAATTATTTCTTATTTTGTTTGCTATCATCTCAGATATAATCCTATACCATAAAGTTATTAACAGAATTTAATCATGAAAGAGTTTTAATAGGGGAATGAATTATATATTACTTATATAATTAAAAACAAGCCATAAATGATTTTCATTTTATTTTTACTTTTATTTACTCAAATCAAGTCCAAATCTTTATCAACTATCACAAAACCAGTTGAATGTGATCATGGTGACTTAGAACAATCAATTCTTGATGAATTCGATCAATTATCTGCATCTCGAATAAGAAAAACATAATGATAACAATTATAATTATCACTTTTATATTATGTATATGTCGTTATTTATGATTAACTATTTTTAGTATATATATATATATATTCACGTTAAGAATCTCTGTAATCGTCAATCTGAGATCTCAATTCATGATAAAATTTCATTCCATTTTCTTAGAATCTAATAAAGATTTCTTGACTTTTTTTTATTACAATCGGGATAATCTTTTTTTTCAAATTTTACATTATTCCTTTGTCAAAAAAATTCACCCAAGTCTTTAAATTCTTTATATTTCAAAAAAAAAGTTGATTTTTAATAATATGGTTTTCTGTATATTAAGCATTTGAGAAACGTTAAATTGCAACCTAACAAAAATAATATTAAGGTCAAAATGGCTGCACAAAATCTTGGAAGAATTAGTTATATACAACAGAGTGCCCCAAAATGCCCTGGTACGGCCGAGAGTGAGAAGAGTCCGCCCTCCCTCCCGAAATGCTCTCATATGGCCATGCGTATATAGCCTATGTTAGGGAAGTCCTACTCACTGTCTTCTCTCTGCGGGAGTGTTATTTACAAAATTGAGAGGACGAAAAGCGAATATCCGGTGCTTTAACCGGGTTGGTGGACACGGAAAGTCCACCTAGGGGAGTTGGAAAACCCTCATTCCAAACCAATGGTGCACATAGGCTCCTGAGTGAACAAATGGCGTACAAAACAATCGTTGATCACCGGCCACCATGGGACTGCATCTCCTCAAAATGCTCTACTGCCTTGTGAGTTAGACGTTTAGGTCAAAGGCTCCGGGTGTGGCCCTTTAAGAAAACCACCTGCTTCAGTCTGGGCACCTGGGCAGTATCACAGCCCTCACACAAATCAAATGAGATTTGTGCGGTGCATATGTATTCGGTGCCTCTTTGTACCAAAATCTATGTGTTCAAATAAAGAAATAAACAACAGAGAACCTGGAATACATGGACATCAGTTCAGTGTGCTACATTTTACTAGCACATAGAGATGTCCAACTGATGTGAATAGTATTAGTGATACTAGATTTTTATGCATGGAAGATATGATTTGAGAGTATGTGTTCGTAAAATAGAAAACTTTCTTAAAACAATTAAAAAACATGGGATCTGAAGGTAAACAGAGTGAATGCACTTATTCCATTGCAGATGATTCTTGGATCATATCACCCAACGCCGTCAACCATGGGTTACCATAAATGCACGGACTCCAAACCAGGTAATCTGCAGCCACTTACACGGTTCAGTCCAACAGTCAATGACTACACGGACTGAAGCGATGTTTTGTTTGGCCACCCCTGGCTATATTTCAACCTACACCGATAATCACCTTCCGTTGATGTAGGGGGATGTAATATATGCTCCGAACTTAGTAAAGATTCACTGACTTGTTATCCTTACATCGTACCCTAGTCTAACTTCAGCATTACCCACTCGTTGGTCCGGACATAAACGAGCAACGGTTCGAAGGTGTCTATGATCAAGTACTGGTAACCTACGTTTTACAGCCATAAAGTGTAACAGAACGAACTGCTGAACTCATCCTATGGTTGGTAGTAATAACTGTTTAGAGACGCTTCATGACAAAAGGGAATTGGTGATTAGTCATGATTATGTAGTGTATTATACTTAAATTGTTCCAGTAAGCTTACGACGGTTTACTTTTTCGAAAAAATGAAACGACAACTACAGTAGAAAGACAAGTAATCCATTTACCGGATTAACCTAAACAACTGTCAAGTATTCTCTTTTGAGGCAGATTAAGAAATACAGAGTCATTACATGAACCAGTAACTCTTTGTTTTACCAGTGGCAATATGAATAAAATTTTTGAACAAGTATGAGATTTACACCTATCAATTACTGAGCACTGGCCATGTCATATTTGTCTGATATGTAATACAATTGGTTGGCCATAAACTACGTAGAACCTGGTATAAACATGTATTGGTTTAATTCGTCACAACACATCAGTGCGTTGAGATGAAATTATCAAGATAAATGCCAGAATAGAAAAGACAATGACCCAAAAATAACATATTTGTAGGATAAAAAGTACAACGTGATTTTAACACCCAAGATCTAAAGGAAGAGAGAAACGAAATGCAACCACTCTATTGTAGAAATTGTTAATACTTCAAATATTGTACAAAGGTGGAAATCGTCATGAAATTATAGAATTCAACGAAAATTGTAAAATCCTATTTAGTAAATACGGAGTATAACTCTTAGTGCAATATTTTGAATAACAGAATACGAATAATTGAGAGGAAGAATCCACTTCAAAGATTATCTTTTAAGTAGTAATAGGCGAACACAAATAGATTTTCCGATCACAAAATCAGAGATATGACTTTGTCATTTAGGTAACTTTAGAAGAATAAAAATACGCATTTAGACAATTATTATTAAAAGGGTGAAGAAATATTTCTTTCCAGGTAATCTGTATATTGTAATACTTAATTTAAAATTTTAATAGTTACGATTATGAATCAATTGAAGCTAGACCACCATGGAGAACCTGGAAGCACTAGACGGCCGTTTCATCCTGAGGAGTGCCACAACTTAAAACAAAATGTAATTATAAAGTGAACAGCTTGTTGTTGTTAGCCTGCTGAGAATTCTATATTGTACCAGATTATAATATTGAATAAAGCCATTAATTAATAATAATAATAATAATAGTAAAATTTTTTTAAAAATATATCTCTATCAACTTGATGACTTTACTGTTGCCACTAACTTCTGTACCATGTTAAAAGTTTTAGACACAGAGAACAACCACTTAACAGTTGAATTAAATTAAATAACTTGTTTTCTTATGATTGATATATTAATTGACTTTCGAATTCGATAGCATATTGTTCTCTCTAACAAATACGGTGTCAAGTTAAAATCCTATGCGGATAATTATGAATGTTAACTGGTTAAAAGTTTCAAAATACGACAGAACAGTTTTCTGATGTTCCTTGATTTTCAGTTACTTATTAGTTCGTCATAAAGAACCATCCATTAAATTATGTGAAACATCATCGCATAGAAAACCATCTTACTGTATTTAACTATTCCTACTTTTCTTGACACACTGACATGTACAACTTATTTTTCGTGTGTCTAATTATAGCTACCAGAACAAAAAAATAAGATGCGTAGACAGGTATTTAGAAACTCATCTGTAAGACAAAAACAGAAAACAGGCAGAATGCATGCACATCCACCACACAAAATATATATTGGTTTTTAATAATTTTGCAAATGTTTACTAAACACTAAGACCAACTAATTATACATTACTTGAAATCAACAAAAGTGGAATAATTCGAAATTTGTGTTTTCCTTTCTCGTCTCTTTCAATGATAAATTGAAAGAAAGAAAGAAAGAAAAAGGAACCGGACAAGAAATATGTGTATCTAATTAAAAGCGCAAACAAGCAACAATATAAATGCATGATATAATAATATGAAATATATAGTTATTTCCAAGTAAATATAAAACACAATAGAAGACCAGCAATAAGACGAGATTTTTCCCCCTGGAACAAGGCAAAATTTGTAGGCTGTGAAGTTAAATGATGTGTGACCTGTGAAAATAACGTCAAATATACATGAATATAACCACAGTGATGAGATATATAAGGGATAGAAATGTGATGTAAGTTTACTAACACATGTTAAAACTTGCTGTTATTGTATGTACAATACCACAAAGCGCTATTTCAAGCATTACATCTGTAGCAAGCCATTCATTTATAATGTAGGACGCTGGATAAAAATACATCAGTTCATTTTGTCATAAATCACAACACCATAGTGAGAGGAAATTAGTAGAACAAAGAGCTAAGGAGTCTAGATAAATTTCGTACTATTGAGTTATCAGAGTTGAGTGGTCTAGTAGTGAAACTTTCACTGTCTTTTCAACATAAACTTCAGACCGAGGTTAGCGATACAAATTTCTTTGCATATGGTTAAAAGCTTAATATGTCTACCTTGGTTCTGATTGGTTGTTGCTGACTTCTGTCTTCGTCTGCGTATTTATCTTGATAATCAAAATAATGAGCTACAAATCTCTACTATTCCTCCTAAAATTTCGATACGTAATTTCTCGATGTCTTTAAATACAAAAACCATGACAATGAAGAGAGCATGAAATCAGTACAACAATATCGTTTAATATTTACAATACTACTTACTGTAACCATCACACTTGGACCAACTGATTTGTAAATATTTTCAAGGAATATTCACTAGAATTCTCCATATCAGAATATATCAGGTACACTGACATGACGTAAATTTTTATGAACACTTGCTATTTCAGCAAACAACTTAGTTACATCAACTGGATCTGGTTGTGATTGTACTGATAATTTAGGATGAAAAACCTGAAGTAGTAAAATACAAAAATTAAAACTCCCAAGTAAAATAATCTAATGAAAACAAGGATGATACCTCTTAACTATGTGTAAATCATTTGTGGTGAGTTGCAAATAAGATCGATCATTCAACCATAGTTTTAATTTGTGACGATTTTGTTACCAACATCATTAAATCGGTTATTTAGATTATAACAAAACAAAGATGACTAAGCTTGATTACAATAATGAATTACACCTGCGGATAATCGCATACACAAAAATAACGAACTTATTTCCTTGTATTTGTGTGAAAATGTCACTGAGCTGGTATTATTGGCATCAGAGGTAAAGGTTTGGGCAGAAATATTTTAATACGTAAGACATCCCTGTAAAGCGACAGAGACAAAAGTTACTGAGTCCAAGCCCCTATTGGAATGTATACGAAATACGAGCAAGAGTATGGAGAATCATCTTAAGCAACTCCATTTAAAACATATGATGATGGCATATCTATAAACAATTCCTGGATTGCTAACTCGAACACTTAGGAAAATAGTTTGTTTATTCCAATACTCTAGAAACTTCGATCAAACAAGTTAGTGCTTCATAAATGATGAACCCTGGTTTACCACAAAAACTTGAATTCTGAGAGAGTATTTGTCTGTACTACATGCACTTTTAAAAATCGGCTAGATATATTGATTTAAAGTAGTAGTGCTGTTAGACAGGGTTCAAATTGTTAGGAAACCAGGGCGTATATAGCCAAACTTGAAGAAAGTATACTGACAACTCTAACACACATTTTAAATTGTAAATTATTTTTAAAAACACAATTTATTGCTATTCACCTAGTAAAAACTACTTTTACATTAACATCACGCTTGTTTTTAGTTTGTCTTGTTGTCATTTTCCATACATATACATAGAAATCCAGTGGAATACAACCAATTGTACATATGGGCTCCGGTATCCTGAAGGAACAAATGGCGTATGAACCTATTGTTGGTCACCGGCTACCGTGGGACTGCATCTCCTGACGTTGCTCTACCGCCTTGTGAATCAGATCTTTAGGTCAAAGGCTCCGGGTGTGGCCCACTAAGAAAACCGCCCGCTTCGGTCTGGACACCCGGGCAGTATCACAGCCCTCACACAAATCAAATGAGATTTGTGTGGCGCATATGTATCTGGTGCTCCTTTGTACCAATATTTGTGTTTAAATAAATATAGTTCACCAATAAAAAATTCATCTAGAATATTATATTAATAACGTAACAGTAAACTTTTAAATTATTTCAATAAAGTAATTGTTTAAATATTGTCTCGTGGATTTATATTTACAAAAACATGTGTTTAGTTTACCAGTATTTCTTTTCCCAAAATAAATGAACTTAACTGTGTAATTGCAAATAAATTCTCATTTAAATTTATCGCTAATGCATGTTTACAAACAAATTGTGACGTACACTTAGTAAGTTCAAAGCTACGGAGATTAAAATTTAGAGGCCAGTATCATATGAAAATGGTATTTTGTATATTAGCGATAAATGAATACACTAGAACAAAAATGACAGTAGCCAGTGTAACGTCTTTATGACTAAACGTGAACATTACCAAAATACTGACTACAGTGAACAGTGACAAAACTACGAAAAAGGTGAATACATATATTTATTTTGATTAGTAATAGACTAAAAACTTAACGCACTAAAATATAAGCAAATTGATAAGATAGAGGCGTTAAAAGTGGTAAACATAAAGGATGCAGTGAGAAAAAGGGAAAATTCAAATTTGTGAGAAACATTGATAGAAAACCAACTATATATATGCTTAAAAGCCGTCAGTAGAATGCGTCATTTCATTTATTTGTGTGAGGGCTGTGATACTGCCCGGGTGTCCAAACCGAAGCAGGTGGTTTTCATTTGTTTGTTAATAGGTTAGTACAGGAGTATTCATCTGAAAATGAAAAACACTCCAGAGCATTCCGTTGATTAATACTCGTAGTCTTCTCAAACAAGGCCTCATGGGTTACAAAAGTAACAACTAATAATGTAAGATATTACGAAATGTTAAGTCTCTGGTCAATGTTCAAAAGAAACAATAAATTGGTTTGAAAACGTGTATAACATGAAAAAAAGTATATATTACATTGGTTTAAACACATTAACGTTTCGTTTGAATTGAAGTTACCACCATACAAAAACCGCCCTTTTAATGTTTCATTTTACCTTTCCAATTAGTTCTTTTGTGGTGCGTCACCGTCTATTATAAAGCCTTCAAATGTTGGTATTTAATTACATTGATCTTACGTACTATTAGTCAACAATTAACGAATTAGAAAGCAACTGCACTGAATGAATTCATCATTAAAAATAACTTGTTATGGACAAATACTAATAAACCTAATTTTATTTGCGAGGCTAATCGAGTGGTGAACTTTCGTACCTTCGTACTATCGTCTAAGTTACTCTCATTAACAAACAGAAAATTACAGTGCAACTACAGCTCTATTCATTTATTTATAAGAATGCTGACAACGATGTAATCATGAGTAATCTATTTCAATAGGCGGCAAGTGGAGTGGAGAAAGGATAAGGAAGTAAAGGTTTATAAAACTATGCATTATTGCTTAACTCAATAATCAGAACACGCACCTGGTTGTTAGACTACCAACCACATGATTTACTCCGATATTTCTTACAGTTGAAATGTCCTTATCATTCTAACTACTTAACTTCGAATGTTGATATCAAAACTTTTGGTGAAAACCTGTCAACCAATGTTTTTAACAGATCATAACATCTAAATTCGAGGTATAATGAATTTGCTGGGTCTCAATGGATTCTCACAGGATTGTAAGACTAGAAATCTTGGTAATCTTAATCTTTTCGTCCCACAGAACAATTGACCACTTCTGTCCTTTTCAAAGATCTATTTTAATATCTGGATCCAAAGATTACAAACAGTATATAGTAAATAATATACTTTTAAATATATCAAAATTTACATGAAAAGACATATTTTTGTTGTGTACTGTTAAGTATCACTAAAGTGTCTTTGTACATCAGTTCGCACCCAATTGGAAAATTTAGTTGTCGTATGAACATAAGCACTCTGACTTAGTACATATTATTAAGACATGTCACTCTGAACAAAACTATTAATCATAGATAAATTTGAAGCGAAGACCAACATTAATATTTGAGGACCTATTCATGATAGTTACCTTTTGAAGTTTTCATCTGAATCATGAAGCTAAATCAACTACACAGATTTTGTCACTTAACAAACAATAAATCTGAAAGGCCCCAGTTTAAACAGTTCAACACATAGATACTTTATATGGAAATGAATGTATTTTTATCCAAAGTAAAATCGATTAGTGTTGTGATTCTTATTATCGTTTTTTATGTCAGGGTTTTAACACAGTTGGTCATTGGAATGTATACACCAGAATAAAAACCGAAGAGATGTTAACTACTAAAACTGATAGTCCGTGCAACATAAAAACACTTTACTACCTTTTTTGACGTTCTTCTATGTGTATTGGTACGACCTTCTTGTAAACACTGAACTGGATGTATTTCAGCAGTTGGTAAGGGTAGTTTGGGACCATTTTTGTTCCATGTTAGACCGTATGGAAAATGCTCTCCAACAACTATGCACAACTCATCCAAACAAGAAAGCCATGAGCGTAACCATTCAACATGCTCAGGAAGACTATATAGAAAAATCACAGTAAAATGGATATGTAAACTGAGAAAAATTACTTTCTCATTTAGGAAAAGTGGTAAAAGGCATATACCCTACATTTGGTATCGTACACAACACATCTTTCAGATAGACTTGACTGGCTGGAAGGAAAAGCGATGGTAGACAAACATCCCTAAATAAAGTCGAACGGATTATGGTGTAAATATAAGTTAGTAACTTTCCATTCCAACAACTCTGACTACCTCAGTGAACGAACTTACATCAGTTCCACTAGACCGAGAGCTATTAGTCAGTGCATCAACACAGTGATACATAATTATTTTTTTAAAAGGACCACTAGAGTAGAATGATATAGATCTATTTATTTCTAGATTTATTATTGACGCAAAATCATTACTTTACAGAGATAATTGGACAGCTACTGACTATTATTTATTGTATAACAATTTTCGATTATAATTCATGAAATCAACTCGGAATGGTATAACTATTCATTCCCATGAATGCTAACTAACGACATCTGAATGAGACTAACGTATTTCAAAAGCTAACCTACAGGAAACAAACCTCCCTCTAGTGAAGTCTTCACTAATAATATATTTGACGAATTCTAAGTATGTAAGCATATACAACATCGAAATACTTACTATGAAGACAAGGACAGTAAATGTGAACCTTGATACGAACAAAATCAAAATGAGTTCAAGCTTTTGACCAACCTTACTAAGTTAAGATTGGAAAGTGTGCCTTAATAACATACAGTAAGCATTTATTCTCTAGCCCAAGGCTTTTCAGGTGTGATATCCAATAACCCATTTCGAGTCAATCACTTATTTACATGAAGTAACCCTAAGACATTTAGGAGCAAACAGTAAGGAATACACAGAGCAAACATTGCCGTATTCGGTTAATAATAGTATTCGCGTTTTTATGTCAGAAGACAACTTACCTCTCACGACAATACTGAAAGACTTTGTTAGCGTTCAACCATGTTGAGTCCTTTAATTCTTTAACATACTGAGGTGCTGAAGACTAAGATTTATTAGACTAAGAACCTGTAAACTTACAGACCCAACCCAATTCAGTATAAGGATTGAATCTGCAATGGTTGATAACTGACACTTCCGTACAGACATGGCTCCAACCCTGAAGTTCTTGACTTCATTTAAGTTACTACGGAGAATTAACGTACTGCTATTTCAATCATCTTAAAATGAAGAGGCTTCAAGTGAATATCCATATCCATCTCAGTTGGTTTGCTATAAATGTTGGATAGTTCAATGAGATCCCTGACGAAGCCAAAAGCGTTTTCAACACATAATGACTACAAATAGACAATGGATTGTAGTTACCTGAGATTGAATGTTTCCTCCCAACTTTCTACTGCATGCGAGATAGTTTTTAAGGCTATTAGCAATGATTAGTTCAAAAGCAACCAGTCCAGGGTTTTTTTCTACGTAATGAACAAATCGATGTAGGACTTACCTGGGGTTATTGTTTGCGTTATCTTTTCAAGTCGAAGAACTATGGATTCTAAACGATCACAGAACTCTACTCTGTTGAGAACGCCTAATACAGATGACGTGTTATTGCTGCTGCCTTCACACAATAGATTCACTTTTGAAGCATCAATTCCATCAAGTTGGTGAACTGTAGACCAGTCGCCTAAACTAGCTGAACCCCCGTCTCCAACACCCGGAGTGTGACTAATGGTTGACAGAGATAAAGTCTCCTTGGCACTTCCATCCTGGTCAGCCTGTTTAGTATTGTCTGGGATTTGCTTTTTAACAGAGTTAGCAGAGCCTAAGCCACCACTTTTTGCACATTTACGGTGGTGTTTATAACAGGACAGACAACTTAGCAAATTGCTAAATAATTGATATGAAGGAAGAAGAGGACTAACGTATTTCTGCTCATGTGTTTCAAAAGGCTATAGATGTTTTTTTACCTAAACTGAAGGAAGATTAGATCCTGAGAGAGCGTTTGTAGGAGTGTGTAAGGAAAGCTTAAAAAAGGAAGACAAGTGAAAATGTGAACTCAAAACTCAGTAGGTACAAAGTGCACTTACATTAACTGGTGTAAACAGTTTATAGCAAATTTTAGTAACAAGTGTGTGGGATTAGGACAATCAAAACCATAAGTGTTAGTACGTGATTTCGAAACCTTTAAGAACCTCGAAGTAGTAACGCACAATTTTAAATTAGTGCTTATTGTTGAGACATCAAGCCTCAGACCTTGTTGGATAGAACTAGCGAATTGTTTATCCCTTGTAATTTGCATTCAGTTAATAGAAGAGAGTTCTTATTTACAGAGAAGTATGGTTCTTGTTAAATTACTCCTGTAAATAAAAGAAAGTAATAATGGAGTGGTGGAAGACGATAGTCTTGTAGGGTCAATGAAATGTCACTGAACCCTAACCAAATAATCCAGCAGTTGGGTCACTGTATATCGAACAGATAACCGACCCCTGTTAAAGTCAAGGACAACAGACGTGCATCAGTTAATTATGCGCTATGGACTGACCTATCCGGTGGTGGTCTCACTAACATCTCTGTACTCATTCTTACTAATATATTTACGTAATTAAGCCCTTTGTGTTATACAGTCTTCAAAGAAGACTGTACTTTGATACGTTGAAGTTGTAATCCACGCTAGATACTGACCGCCAGGTGTGACTTCGAAATTGGCTGGTTCGTCACACCGTCCCCGTCTAACTCGAGTAGGCTTCCAATCATTCGACATAGATCATTAACGTTGATGGTCTACAGTCTTCTAGGTGTTATGAAATCTGGAGTAATCCCAATCAGTACCTGCGGAACTAAAGTAATCATTAAGCCTTCTGTTGGAACATTCAGTTGAAGATCCAATCACTATATATTCTGATATAGAATTCCATAACTTTTATATATGGTATTCTGACGATGTCAATGTGTTGCAAGAGATAGAAAGTAAAGGCGATAGTTAAGCGACTAAAAATGACTTGGAGAAATTGTCTAGCAGTTGCCAGCAAATGCTTTCAAGCGTACTGGTGACACCATCTCGAAATACCGACTTCAATGGCTTGGACGTGTTCTACGAATATCGTCTCAGAGAATTCCTCGTCGTGCGTTATTTACCGACGACGCTCGGAATGGTTGGAAACAGTGAAAAGATGATCAGTGTGTGACATGGTGTCGTGGTATGAAAGAAAGCTGTACAGGAATGCCTTCTGTTGGTCCTTCACGACTCCCTGGCTGGGGTCTGAGAGATTGTCTAACACAGTGGCTAGAGACGTTATCAGATATGGCTCAGAATAGAAGCCAGTAGTAATCCTGCTGTAATCTTCTCTTACTTTCTTCATAAATAGTGGCTGTAACTTCCCTAACTGAAAGAATTCTTTCCGGTTGTACCTTTGCATTTCTCCCATTACCACTGTGTGATGTTTAAATAAATCAATGACTTCTTAGTATTGATGACTGTTGTAATTTTGAATTCCAAATACAATACATTCGTTCGGGCTCATCTGGTACTTCTTGATTAAATTGCGTGATTCCTGGGATTACTAGTTTATACTACAATTCAAATACTTCTAATTATCATATTGGCGTCGCGATGGAGCCTGCGATACAACAGTTGGACATTCATTCAACTTCTGAAGCTTGTGAGGATTACCTTGAAAGGTTTGAGATATGGAGCATGACCAAGAAAGATATGAAGGGTGACAAAATTGTGGCACATTTTCTTACATTCATCGGTCAAGAAGCCTACAGTTTATTAAAAACCTTGGCATATCCAGATAAGCCGATTTGACTCCCATATACAACTCTCAAGGAATTACTATTAAACCATGTGAAGTGCACCAGTTTTGAGTGTCGTGAGAGAGCAAAATTTCATAAGATGATTCGTCAGGATAACCAGAAGGTTAAAGACTTCATCCTTGAATTGCAAAGACAAGCTGCCAAATGCAATTTTGGTGATCAACTTCATGTACAGTTGAGAGATCGGTTAATTGCTGGAATTAACATACCAGGTCTGGAAAAGGAGCTGTTAAGAATGCCGAACTGTTCTTTTCAAGATGCTAGAACTGCATGTATTAACTACGAAGCAGTGAATGAACTTGATATTCAATCGATGAAAATTTCTAATACTTTGCGTAGTCGTCATGATGAATTACAATCTCAGGGTCGATCAAATTTGCGTTCGTTTAATCGTGATTGCTATTCCCGTGGAAATATGAAAGGTGGTTTAACAAGGAACTGCAAAGCAAACAACAAAGGTGAGAATAAGTTTGGTAAATGCTTATCTTGTGGCAAATTTCATTTTCGTAATTCATGTGCATTTCGTAATGCTAAATGTTTTAAATGTGGCAAGATAGGACACATTCAGTCAGTGTGCAAAACTACTGTTCACTTTGCTTCAAGTATTACTAAGTCTGGTAACTTAGATCCCAATAATTCGGCTGTTCTTGATGATCATTTATCTTTATCCACTACTTCAAAAGGGAATGTTCATATTCAAAAGCGATTATATACATCCCTTGGTTCATTTCATGACTTTATTGTGGACACAGGTAGTATAGAGTCCATTATTTCATTCAAGAACTTGAAATCTTTAGATCCTAATGTTGTGGTAAAACCCACTGAGGTCTCAATACTGGGGATTACTGGACACAGACTACCTATACGAGGATGTTGTAAATTGCTAATAAGAGATGATAATTCTTCATACGTACCTTGTGAATTTTTAGTTAGTGAAACAGGACTGTCCATACTGGGTTTAAAAAATCTGAAAAGGCTTAAAGTGGAATTGTCTCTACTAGTTTCTACAGAGAATTCTGATGCTTTACTCAAGGATTTGATAGCTGTGTGTGCTAAGTGTAGTGGAGGTATGAAAATTCAGCCCATTAAACTTCAAGTACAGGGTGATCCGGTCTTTCTTAAAAGACGAATAATTCCTTATGGTCTTCGAGAAGCAGTACATAAGTCACTGAATGATTTGTGTGCGAAAGGTATAATTGAACCAGTTCAGTCCTCAGCATGGGGTACTCCTATTGTTACGCCATTGAAATCGGATGGCAAGACCCCTAGAATATGCGGTGATTACAGATTGACACTGAACTCCCGTTTGTTGAAGCAAACATGCACGACGATGGAGGCTGAAGATATTCTAAATCGGCTTCATGGTTCTAAAGTGTTCTCGAAAGTTGACTTGAAAGATGCTTATCTTCAAATCCCTTTACATCAATCTTCATCTATCTTGACAACAATTAACACTCCTTTTGGTCTGTTCAAATACAACTTCCTTCCATTTGGTCTTACTTGTTCTCCAGCCATATTTCAAGAGGTCATGAATAAGATAGTCAGCGATATTGAAGGTGTTGAAGTTTATCAAGATGATCTCATTGTTCATGGTGCTGATAAAGTAGTTCATGACCAGAGACTTATTGCTTTATTGCGTCGTTTAATTGAGAAGAATATTACAGTGAATCCAAATAAGTGTTCATTTAGTGTATCTAGTTTTGAATGCCTTGGATACCTAGTTGATGGTAATGGTTTTAGACCAGATATGAAACGACTAGCTCCACTGACAAATGCACCGTCTCCAAAAAACATCACAGAATTACGTTCACTAGTGGGTGCTCTTCAGTACTATTCTCGTTTTATTCCTAATTTTTCTTGTCGTGCCAATTGTTTATTTATTATTTTGACATCCAATTCATTCAAATGGGGTGAAGAACAAGAGTCATGCCTACGAAGTCTGCTAAAGTTTCTTCAAAGTGATGCTGTCCTTCGAACTTACTCACCCAGTGTACATTCTGTTCTTATTACTGATGCGTCATCTGTAGGTATTGGTGCAGTTTTGGAACAGGAAGGTAGGCCAGTTATATGTGTTTCACGCAAACTTTCTGTTGCTGAACAAGGTTATTCACAAACGCAGCGAGAAGCGTTAGCTGAGTTTTGGGCTGTTAAAAGACTTCATAAATATTTATTTGGAAAGAAGTTTACCATTGTTACTGATCATGAAGCCTTAAAGTTCATTTATCATCCTGACAAATCCTTAGCACGTTCCTCAGCTGCTATGGTTCAACGATGGAGTATTGCTTTGAGTGCTTATGACTATACGATTCAGCACAGAAGTGCAAAACAAATTCAACACGTTGACTACATTTCTCGACAACCATTACAAGATAGACCTGTTAATACTTCAGACTGCTTGTTAGTGCAACCTTTACCGGTGAGACGTCCAGATCTCATTAGAGAAACTCGTAGATACTTTGGATGTATACTCAGTGCTATACGGAAGGGTTGGAATGCTAATCTGAAACGTAGATTTCCTGTCTATTATTCAAAGCGGGACGAGTTATCTACTACTCCTGACGGTATTTTGTGTTTAAATGATCGTGTTGTTATTCCTCCTTCATTACGCAAACCTGTCCTTGATGATCTTCATAGTGGACATCTTGGTGTTGAGAAAATGAAGTCCTTAGCAAGACTCACATGTTGGTGGCCAGAGATAAATGCAGATATATGTCGTACAGCAAACAATTGTGAGAAATGTCATAAGCTAAAAAGTCTGCCTTCGAAGTGGACTCCATGGCCAGTATCGTCTGAGGCCTGGCAGAGAATTCATGCAGACTACTGTGGTCTATTTCTTGGTAAATACTATGCACTTGTAATTATTGATTCTTTTTCTAAGTGGCCTGAAGTTTTTTTCACAACTTCACCGAATTCTGACTTCACAATTCAAGCATTAAGGAAGGTGTTTATTCGAGGAGGGGTTCCCATGGTGATAGTGACTGGTAATGGCTCTCATTTTGCTGCAGATGCAGTCACTAATTGGTTAAATGGTATAGGGTGCAGACATCTGTTTACGGCTCCCAGGCACCCTTGTTCCAATGGTCAGGCAGAAAATTTCGTAAGAACATTGAAAATTGCTATTGATTCTATTGCTGCTTCGACATTCAATGAACTGGAGAGGGGAGTAGATACATTTCTACTTCAATATAGAAATGCTAAGCATTCTGTGACGAAAGAGACTCCATCAAAGCTATTAAAAGGAAGAATTCTCCGTTCGAATATGAGGTGTTTGGAGTCTGCAGAAGTTACGTATTATCGTGGTAATGATCTTCGACCAGCCACGAGGATCGTGGTGAAGAATGTTGGAAAATCTATGGTGCGAATTCTGGATATCAATGACTTGACCATACATAACCGACACGTTGATCAAATACAATACCAGAATCCAGGTGAGTCTGTTAC